TAAGCCCCGATAAAAAAGAGGAGGGGCAGGGAAGAAGGACCAGGTTAAAGAAAGGGAGACGACATTTAAAGCAGGGAGAGAAATAAAAACCCCCGCCGAATGACGCCAGAGCAAACGAATAAATAGAAAGAAAGATGGAGTGTTTGAGCCTAGAGATTGAGACTGGGCTTGTGTCTTGTCTCGTTGTCAATGGAGATAGAGGATGGGTAGATGGATGTTGTTGAGTGGGATGATGGGAGCTGCATGTTGATGGGGGATACCGAGGCCAGAGCTGAACAGAGTAGAACTAAAAGCAGAGAAGACTATCAGATTAACCCGTACCTTGGCTTCCATTAAACAGAGTTATTTCATCGGTTCGCAGGTTCGTCTCGTCTCGCCTCGTCTTGTGTCGTTCCGTCTCGAGTCTTCTCCTGCTCAACTCTCGTATGTGATGATGTCGTGATCTCGCGGGTGCCGACGTCGAGGATACCCTCTTCAGTTTAGGCAGAAGAAGGTTGAAGCGGTCCGTTCGTTTGCTCGCTTCGAGTCGGTAAATTCTCGATGGGAATGGATTGGATGGATTGGATAGGATAAGACTGCACGGGACGGGTGCAGTGGATACAGTACGTGCCCGACCTTCCTATTTACAAACTACCTTACCTTGCCTACCTACACCTGAGCTGAACTCGACTGTTGAGCTGAGCTGTTTGCAAACGGGAACTAAGGTAGGTACTGTATAGGTAATATCTCGTGGTGCAGAAAGAGAGAAAATACAAACGGCAGGGAGAGACAGCAATTAGATAGGGCTGAGCAAATAAATAAAAGCTATGAACATTTATTAAAATGAATCTACAACTTCGAGATCTCAGGCTTGGTGGCGCATCAGCGCCAATTCCTCCTCAACTTAGCCGTTGTTGGGCAACCGCCGGTAACGCTCTTCAGGGGGCTTCAGTGCGCTACGGACCTCTGCTAGCCAACCGCTGGAACAGTCCTAGACTAGAAGAGGCACTGCCCGAAGCCAACGGCTCAGCTCGTGAGCTGAGAAGATAACAAGAACACTGACTATTTAGGTATTCAACGCGATAGCCGTTGATCCTGTCTGTCCTTGAGAGTTGCTGTTCTCTAAAGTAAACTGTGGCTGGTTACTCTTGATTTGTGATGAGCTCAGCAGCTGAAGGAGAGTTGTAATAAAACTACCTACCTATCTCATCATGGTTGCACGCTATGACTCCCGTCATAGATATTTAGTCTAGCTACCTGAAATAGGCGATACATCCCGACATGCTTTGATAGTATATGAATCCGCGGAACGCCGTATTGACTGATCATGATGATGGTTATTATGATGAGGACAAGTCTCCCCCTCAAACATGGATGGTTGCATGTATGTAAAAGGCAACTGACTGACTGCACTTCTCCAACCACGGATACAAATACCCTGTAACTGCATCTCTCACCGACTGCGGACAGCCAACCAACAAGTTCCCGAAACCACAATCAGCTCACCACTTTGTCATCATCGGCTATTGCTAACTGTCAGCCAAAGAAAACTGATTCAGCCGCATGTCTTGAAAGGGGCAGTAATCAACTGGGCAAGCCTGTCTTGAGACGTGAGCATCAGGCCCAGACGTTGCTTGAGAAACAGGTGGTGTATCACGTCACATACTAAGACTCGTCAGTAATTAAGAGGACCATCTTGGTATATTTGGGGCCTGGTGGCTTTGCACGCGTCATCATTGTCTGGTTGTCGGGGCTCTTTCATACTAACTTAGTACCTAGTCGGGGAACCGGCGACCTTATAGGTTGTCAATATTATCTTTTTTAAGCCTCATGTCCATGGTACTCAAGTTATTCCTCCAATTACTTTATATGTATAGAGTATGGCCATATGATGCAATGTTGTCTGCCCAGTTTCTCCTGTTTTGTCAAACACGAACACCCACACTGAGGTGGCTCAATATCCATTGGGGATAGTATGGACATACCAATGTCCGTCTGGTCTACCTTCAACTTCACGTGTTCCAGCTAATGATGATAGTGAGACATCGACTTGACAATTCTGGTGGTTACTCCTTAGTGCCAACAAACACTAAGAGCCATTATATCAGCAACTTTCTTTGTTAACAAGATCCAAACGGGACGGATCGAACGGTAAAGACTGTGAATGGTGACAAACTCAATACGAGTTAACCACTAACGGACACTCCTATAACGGGCGCGGAAGTATTGGCTCAGCAATCACAATGAAACTCTGTGAAGGGTTTGAGAGTTTTATAGATGTTACTCATCACCTTCTCAGACACAGTCGCGATACATACTTATGCTACTTGATTCTACGACATCAATCGGCATATGTCTTTTATACAAGTTCTCTGAAGTTTGTTTATATGACTTTCACGTGCCTCTCACACAATTCCAGCCAGATGGTAAGGTGAAGAACCACAGCGGCTCATGATTGGCCGCCCACGATCGACAAGATGGTGTGTGTCTTCTGGAAATAGTCTATGCCTTTCTCGACCGGGGTTTTAAGTGCTTGCATCTCCATTCCACCAGACATTCCAACTTTATTCATAGGTAGGGAGGTAGTCATTCTGCTAGGTCTTGTCTTTCTCACGTGTTCTGATAAGTATGTGTTTTTTTAACTGCAAGCATCTATCTTCCTGTGCTTTTGCTTCGTATCACGAGGTAAGTCTCTTACACATATATTTGTCAGTTTCTCAATTCATCATAGTCTCTTTTGCAAGCGAGGTTATCGTGACTTGGACGGAGTCTGCCGTGAACATCTACCGAGAGCCAAATCTGTCCTCTTATCCGAACAAACGTGCACCGATGCCTGTAGTAGGTATAAAATATTGGATGTATAGTATACTATGTGGCCTTTGCACATCACATCACCCTGATGAACATGACCCCCGTATAACACAACCTAATCAACTGCCTTGCCTTGCCTCGCCTTAACGTTATACGACACTATGCCACTACTGTCTATCAACTCTATTCAACCCCCGGCCGGCTTAAACGTTTCCTCCATCCGGATGCCGCTCCCCGAACCGGCCCCATCCGGAGTCTCCTCCGCCAACGCATGAATATGGGAGATTAAGCATTTGTTTCGTCTGTACTCTGTCCACACCTTCACACCCCCCGCGATCGAGAGTCCTGTCCTGTCTCCTGTCAACACCCGTTTTGCCTCAATACAAAAACTCTGTTAAGTACAAGGATAAAATGCTTGTTGACTGCCGGGAATGGCCTTGCTCGTTGACGATGCGTTGTTCAATTCCCAGCCTCGCTTCGTCTGCCCCCGCGAAGTGAGAGATGGCTTGACAAAAGTTTAACTGCCAGTTCAGGGTTCAAAGGCAACTAGAGTTCGTTTCAGAAGCGAAAGAGTAGATTTATTGAGAGACCCACGCCTGTGTTGGGTTGCTTCGGCCAAGTTACGAAATCTACACCGAACTGTTCCGCCTGAGACTTGTACCAGTGAGTTAACGCTATCGTATTATGTTTCCATTACGAGTATCCGTACGCACAAACACTGCACTGGGTTCATGACCCCGGCTCTTCTCGGCTTCGGGTACCTGTATCAGAACCTGCCCTGCCAGGTCAAAGCCGTGACCGATCCTGATCCTGATGCTGTCACGTCAATAATAGCAGAAACAGCATGTGACGACATCTTCCGTTTCTCCAATGCATTATACTGTGCCTCTTCTCGCTTAACTTTAGTATAATATTACGGGAAATCTGTTAAGGAAAATAGGCCAATTCGCCTACGTTGCTTGTACGTGGTAGTTAGTTAGCACATACCAATTTCTGCAAAGTCCCCCTCGCAAGGCTCGCATATGAGTTCCTGAAACGGAATTTGGCTGCCTTGGCTAGAGTCGTTAGACCGTTGGCACGATCAACAAAAGATCTCCGCTTCCCGCTCGCAGACCTGTCAGCCTTGGTTATTCAAGATCTCGTCCAATTAACGATATAACGGAAAGCACCAAACATTCTCCCCAGGGTTGCAGTACTCCCCTGGGAGTGGCAGAACACTTGCCGATCTCCCCTGGCCAAAGAATCCCTGACCTTAATAGCCATCATTTATACTGCTACTCTCTCTTCCTCCAAGACGAATAACGCCCTATCAAGAACCGCCGAGCATCCTGCCAGCGGCCAGCCCCTCGTGGTGCCACTTTTCCTTCTGCAAAGCAACATTGCATAGTTGCAACGGGCTGACAAGCCAGTCCTTGTGCTGTAATTAATTCATGTCACATCGTGCTTTTCGCCCTCGAAACAAAACGGATCCGACGATCCCTTTTCATAAGGCGTTTCACGGAGACTTCCGTTTGTCGCTGTCAAGTACGGAGCAGAAGTCTCCGCCACCCATATGAGAGCCAAGGTGCAGATGCAGACAAAATCAATAACAGTGATATTGGGTGACCGTTGCGTAGCTATTTCTATCTATGTAAATCCATGCCTTCGACTTCGACTGGCCAGCAGCATCGTCCATCTTGCTCGTTTCATTCATCAGGCTCTTCCCTAGAGGAAGGCTCCTAATCCTAAACCGACCATTCTATCTAGTGCAGTAAAAGCAAAAACTCCTGGGTATCTCTCAAAGTGAGCAGATGTAGAAAAAGAAAGAAAAGGAAGATATAAAGTAAAGAAGAAGTAAAAAATGTTATGGTGAATCCTCCACTTTTTTCCCTGGTTCCCTTTCTGACATGTACTTTTTCCAAATTCCTACCAGTTTCAAGCTGGGATGGCCTCGTCCACGTGGTGATCCCTTCTCGAAACTGGTCGTTTCCTCCTCCTAACAGCATAAGCAGGCCCTCAGAGGCAAGACAAGGAACAGAAATTAAACAGAAAACTTTAAGCACAGGGATCAACAAACTTATCCCTGGCTTCAACTGGTATCAAACATCATCTCAAAGATCTTGTCGTAACGTAACGAGTGTGGTGCCATCCACGACAATACATGTGCTGTCGTGGTACGGCGGAAATCAAAAGGAAAAAGTCTAAACTGTAAAAAGCAGAGTCGTATCGAGTTAAATCATGTTCGGAAATGGCTCAGTCGTAAGGACGTTTCCAGACATCGGATCAATGGTATAGTGCTCCTGGGGAGCGAGAACAGAGGTGACCTGAGGGTGAGACGTGATCTGGGACATAGTAGAGGGTCTAGGCGTAGTGGCAAGCTCCATCGAGGAGACAGGCATCTGGGGCGTCATGGGTCGATGATGTTGAACTTCAGTCTTGGGCTTTGCCATGGTCGACATGGCCAGCGCCCTCGCGTTGCTGCTTTCGCGGCGACGCTTAGGTGTGTCTTTCACCTTGAGATGTGTATGACACTAAATATTGTTAGTCAAGGCCCCTATCTTGGTGGATTAGTCCGACTTACCTTGTACGCGTGTCTGAACCAGGTGGTTCCCTTCTTCTTGCTGCTGACAAGGGCAATCCACTGCTCGCAGCTACCACAGAGACCCTCCCAAACATCAGGGTTTCCATCCATGCGTCGCTTCTGTTGGGGTTCTTGGAATGAGCTTCCGGTGGCGGCGCTGATACCGTGAGAGAAAGACTTGTCGTACCAGAAGGCAGAGTTCTTCAGCACGAGCCATCGTCCAGGCTTGCAGATTCCACACCAACCCTCTCGCTTGTTGCCGTGACCTCGGACCCATCTAGGGGTGTAAAGGTCGCCCTCAAATCGCAACTCCTGCTCACGGGGGATCATATCGGGATCCTCGGGGTTCATATCCTCAGGAGGTGGAGGGATCTGCTCTTCTCGGAGAGCCGCGTACAGCTCAGGAGGGTCAGAAAGGTCGGTGTAGTGTCCGTTGAGGCAAGCGGCATCTCCGTTGCTCTGAAGCATTCTGAAAAGACCGTGAGACAGAAGTGGCTGAGGCGGGGCGAAATGGTTGACGTCGGTTTGCCAGGGCTGCTGCTGGGCCATCTGAGATGGAAGCTGAGTCGGAAGCAGCATGCTGTTTCTCTGGTAGACGGGAGTGCTGGGGACAACGAAAGGTGCTTGCTGCATGGCCTGGAGGTTGCCATAGTTGAGAGGCAGAGGAGTGGCACCAATGGCTGGAGAAGAGTGGCCGGAGAACATGTGCTGGTGGCTGTTGTAGACGTCCGGGCAAGCATGGTAAACGTACTGGGCAGGCTTGCGGCTCGCAGATGTGTTGTAAGTACCAGTAGACCATCGCTTCAGTCTTGGCCCCTCGACGCTGTAGGGAGCAGATCGAACATTGCTGGGTCGAGGAGACGGAGAAGCACCGCGGCCACGACTCTGAGTCCTGACAAGGTCGGTCCTCGACTGAGGAGTCATTCGCGGCGAGGCAACGGGCGAAAGCTGGGTGGAAGACATCATGGAAGTGCGGTTAGAAGGCGGTGGATAATCAGAGCTGAAGGAAGGCGCTTCAGAGAGCGCTGCCGAGAAATCATCGAGAGGCATGTCGGAGAAGGCTCCAGAAGTGGACATCGAAAAGGAAGAACCGGACATTCGACGTTGTTTTGAACCGTCATCAATGGCCATCAGATCTTCCTCGACATGTGTTCCCTGCTTCAGGTCAAGAACAGGGATGGCTTCATCGTTTGTGAAAGAGCTCATTCCCATGGTCATATCGTAGTCCATGCCGTGAAGATCAAATTGATCTTCGACTTGCTTTTCCATCCACGATGCTGCTTCCAGTTAGTTTGAGTGACACCATGAGGCTCGATTTCACTTACAGTTATCCATAGTGGTAGGAGGGTAGAAGTCTTGATGCATAGATCCTGGACGTGACATGGTCTCACTGGGGGTTTGCTGGAATGAAACTGAAGATGAGTCCCAAGATGGTACTGACGAGAAGTTCTCGGCACCGCAGAAAGAGAATCCCTGATAGATGGGCATAGGGCGAGGCTTGGACTGAGTAGCTGGTGTTGACCACATCTCGTCCGAGCCCAACACGGATTCGTTTTCGATAAATTCGTTTGAGTTCATGTTGATTATAGGCGTAGGCCTAGATAGGTATGCAAGCCAGCTGTATAAATACTATCACAGATAGAAAAGAAAAGTTGAGTGTCAACTTTGGTGTTGCTGCGTGAATAAAGTGTAAGTATTGTGTGCATATGGCTCAAAGGAAGGACAAGAAAGTATGAAGCATACAGGTAGGGTGGTGGTAGAAGCAGGAACCCAAGAGTCCCTACAGGAGCGAGCTGTTAAACAATTATGCAGAATCTATCTGGCAAGGGCCGGGTGGTGTCAGCATGAATTCTCGATGAGATGGTGGACGATCATGGTAAACTGGCAAGCCCAGGTCCACATCATATCTGGATCTTCGGGAGTGCCGCGGGACATCTCGAGCTTACCTGGTCAACTAAGAGAGCAATGGCCAAGTCGAATGTGGGAGTAATTTCCGGGCAGTCGATATGCGTTGTAAGGAATGGATGTGTTGTAAGGAACGATCACAGTCGATTTGGGGGATGTCAGGCGGTTAGGGTATAGTAATATGTACTATGGAGTAAACAGGATCCCTTGGACTGATGAGAGCGGAGACTGACGCGAAGAGAGTGAATCGGTTGTTTGTCTTTTGTAAAGGAAAGTGGCGTAGTTGGTATAAGCCCTGTATATGAAGGAAAGGATAGCTAGACCTGGACTTGGATAGCGGTGGGTGGGCTTGCTATATTATACGGTTTGATGACATGCAAGTGTTTGTGTTAAGGAATGACTGGAGACAAAATGGACGAACAAAGTTAATGAGCTGGTAGATTTGCGGAAGAAGCGAAAGGGAAGCGGAGCCGGAACCTGGAGGTATAAGAGAAGACGTGTACGATGGGCAGGAGGCATCATCCATGGAGGCAAGGAAGCTCCGCAAGTCAGGGACGGTCACCAGGGGAGAGGTTTGGATAGACGGGAGGGGCTGGACCGAGTGGGTTCCAACACGCAACACAGACCGATCTATGAACTGGTACAAGAGAAAGCGGATACATAGCAGAGGAGGGGGCTATCCGGTGCAAAACAGAGTCGCAGCGCTCCTGGGATAGGATGGGGCCTAGCAGGTTGCGAGTACAGTAGGAAAGTTCGTCAGTAAAAGTCAAGGAAGTTGAGAAGCCGGTGGAGTTAGAGGACAGGGGTATGTGCAGGGATTCTCATGACCCCGGACTAGGGACAATAAGGCCACAGCTTCCAGTCAGCAGGGCTAGAAGTTGTACTAAAAGAAAGTTAGATCCCGTAAGAGGGCGTGAAGAGGATAACAATGATATCGAGAGGCAACCGTGGAAGCTGAAGCTGCAAGACGATAGTCCTGTATAATACCAATTGATGATTCCAAACCGACTCCAAGACGACCAAGAGTGGCGCAGGCTTCAAGAGTGTATCGACAAGGGGCTCGATCGGGCCACTGGACCGTCCAGTCGGGCTGCACAACAGCAACTCGACGGAGGTGGCTTGTCTCATCCTCTGAAGAAACAAGAGGCAACGAGGGACGTGTGGATGGACGGGCGGGCTAGTGAGTCGACGAGGTCGAAATCCAGTGTGTCGACTCAAACTGAGCCACGTTAGACCCGTCTGGGGTTGACAAAACTTCCGACGACAGCGGATTCAAGCTGTGGACACGCCACATCTATCGACCGACACCCAGACCTTGGGTGCGATAACTTGATGCCTCACCTCGGCCGTTCTTGTCGACACACCTCTAAAATCGGCCAGCACGCCCCCTGCTAACCCCGGAAGAGGGACAATACCCTCTAGAGTCGAGACAGGCCAGGGTATAGTAGATGCAGTATGCTATTTTTCACAACAGTTGAAACCACTAAAGCCCGGGTGTTAAGGCTAATTGTTCGATCAAGTCAATTCAGGAACCGAACCGAGTTGCAGCGGGATCGCCTACCGCCTGAGCGCAGACCTCTCGATATATCTGCACTTACGGCAATATGGCAATATCGTACATATGTCAAAGACCCCGTCCTCTGATCCCCCGCATGAGGGGCACATAGATGGCGAGATGCCAGAACTTTTGTCACGATCGTACGGCGGTTGTCCCTTAAGGAGCTTGATGGAAGATTTGATCGGTTTTTTTTGAGGCAGTAAAATCGGCGAGAGCCGTATAGGCGAAGCGGCAGCTTCTCACGGCAATGTCGGTATTTTTTCTTGAATGATAGGTCATCAGCAGACTGGTGGCTCAGCATGCATCTTGCTTGGGACAAAGCAACACCATTCGCATCGAGACAGTGGGCGATGCGCCCTGAACTCTGGGCTTAGCCAGTCGATTTCGAAAGCAGGTGTGACGTTGAAGAGGCCGAGAGCGAATCACAGACACAGTTGAGCTGTGGCATCTGTATCCTCAGGCGCTGATATAGACTGAATCATGAGTTATCCAATTTAAAGTAACTTTGAGGCTCTCGATCTCCTCCCGCTAGGCCGATGGAGGGTATATTCGACTGAGACACAGAAGCATAGCTGAGGCTGCTATTTCCTTTCTCTTGGCTGATGTTTATCCAAGTGCTGTGATCACATTCGAGATGCGCTGGAGAGCCAAAGCAGAGGTTGCAAGCGTAGCAAGATGAGGACAAGCGCGTGTTTGAAGTTGTAAGAGAGTGGGTCACGGAAAGCCATCTGATTTGCAGCGGCAGGACAGGGGTTTTGGGCAAGAAGCGGGACGAGTATCTTGTTCCTACCGTTTTGGCGTAGAAGCCGTTATTTAGGGTATCTGATTGGCTATCACTGACATGTCTCAGCTGCTAGCAGGGAGACCGGCGTGTCTCAGATCTGTGTCAAGACCAGGGGTATATGGATGAGGTCCACTGATACGTCGAACATTATCCACTCAAAACCCACAGGCTGATTTCGTGGCTCATGTTTAAACACCCAGAGCACCACAATCCACTAGAAGCTCACTGGAACAAGCTCACCAACAGCGGCTTTGCGCCTGGAAAGCCACATCTTACAGGCGAGTCGGTTAGGCGAGGACCACGTCAGAGCTCAATCTGAGCACATTTAGATGGTGGATTTCAATTAATTGTTGTGGATCATTTAGGCTATGAATAGCAGATGGCGTTCACTTTCTCTTATGTAGACAAGAGCATCTCCAAACAGCCGGTCCTTTCATCTTGACAGTCTATCGCTCAGTCCGCAACCGATCTCGATTTGTTTTCATCTCTAATGTTTTAGTCGATTCTTCAGCTCTCAGCTCAGCTGCTAAATTTGGTACACCTGAAGATCCGTTCCTACTAAAGTCGATACGCCTGAACATCGAACGACACCACGATTCCTTCATAGACGAGGAATCCGCTACTATCACGATTAGTGTAGAAACCCCCCATCTTCAAGCCTTCAGATCATCTTCACATCTCACAACAAGTGCCGGATCCTCTCTAGGGGCCAGGGAATAGCCCAGTTGACACTGTTACATCGCGTTGAGACTCCGTTGTTTTCCATTGCATCCATATCATCCGACCAGTGCTTCCCCTCGTCTCATATCCATATCTAGATGGTACCTATGTAGGGAGGGACCTTCTGTAGAGTCTCATTCGCATATTCACTTTTACACGCAACAATTTGTTCCAGCGCAACGCGTCATCTATTTGTCAGTGTGTTACGAGCTGTTTCTTGAGTTTTCCGTGCCTGAGCTTGTGCCTGGAGCTACGATGGCTCCCCACAGTGAGCACGGTGGTTGTCTTCCATAGACTTGGGTTGACGCCCGACAGCTCGGAACATAAACGAGGCTGTCAATTGACGTGATAACAATAGACTCGCATGATCGTTTATAAACGCGTCAATGCTCAAGCTGTTAAAGGTCTGTTCAGGTGCTCTGATAGTGACGATATCGTGATCTTGATCTTGATGGAATGTGCTGCACCCTGCGGCCGTCAACCTCAGGACGGCTAGAGGATGCTCTGCCCGTTTCCGCTTCGAGATAAGCTGTATCGTAAACAGGAAGTTGCAGGATAATCTGCCGTGCACTAACTCCAACAGAATTTCTTTGCTCATCTTCTTCAAGCGTTCCATAATTCTTCTATGGGTCGCCCGGTAAGGCCGTTTTGTGGCCAGGGTCTCATACATCCGTTCCTGAATCACTACTCAAATGGGAAATTACACCACCACCTTTTGGGAGTGAGCATGATTCAGGCCTGGTCGATTCCCTCAAAATGGACAACATGAACCAATTGCGACACTTTAATCTCCCCGCAATGAACTTCTTTCATTTTCTTGCTACGTTACATACCTACCTAGCACCTGGGAAAGATAACTTCTGGAAGGCCTCTGCCCAGGGCTCTGATCTGTCAGAGCGTTTCCGTCCTCCCCCCAGCGCTTGGAGATTCTGGAAATAGAACAACAGAAACATCGCCCACAACGGGTCCGATCCCCTTAAAACATTAATATATTTAACAAACTCTCAGGGAAACGTTAATGTTATCGTATCCCGGTCATAGCCCTATCATGCCGAACCGGTCTTCCGTTCCCTACCTTAGCCTGTGCTGTTGGCTGCTGCTTGCGCGATGCAACAGTTACTCCTTGTTGATCCTCTTCCACACTTCATGCTCGGCTGCAGCAAGACTCTCGCCTGCAGCCGAAGCCCACTTCTTGGCGGCCGACCAGACTCCCTCCTCATCGTTGTCTCCTATCAGAGATGGCCTGCGCTCCTGAGAGACTGATGCTTGGTGAGCCGCACGCTGGGCGCTGGAGAACTCGGACGCGTGCACGTTTTGGTGATAACCAGGTGGATGAGAAAGGTCGCTTCCGGAGCCTCCGCCTGGCACGCCCATTGGGCCCAGGCCAGCCATAGGGGACGGACCAGGAAAAGGAGCTGCAGTCGTCGCTGAACGAGTAGCGGCGAACTCAGACCCACTGGATATAGGCGCATAGGGCACCTGTGCTGGTGTAAACTGTGTCTGTATCTCTCGCAGAGTCTCGCCGGCCTTTGGAGGTGGTGGTAAGGACGCTCCGTTTTGCGGCTCCGGTACAGCTCCCGGTTGCGGGGCCGGAGGGCTCGAATTTACAAC